GTGTGTGTGTGTGTGTGTGTGTGTGTACTCACCTAATTGTACTCACCTAATTGTGGTTGCAGGGGTCGAGACTCAGCTCCTGGCCCCGCCTCTTCACTGATCGCTACTGGATCCTCTCTCTCTCTGCTTCCTGAGCTTTGTCATACCTCTTCTTAAAACTATGTATGGTTCCTGCCTCCACTACTTCACTTGCTAGGCTATTCCACTTGCTGACAACTCTATGACTGAAGAAATACTTCCTAACGTCCCTGTGACTCGTCTGAGTCTTCAGCTTCCAGTTGTGACCCCTTGTCCCTGTGTCCCCTCTCTGGACATCCTATCTCGGTCCACCTTATCTATTCCCCGCAGTATCTTGTATGTCTTTTATCATGTCCCCCCTGACCCTTCTGTCCTCCAGTGTCGTCAGTCCGTTTTCCCCTTAACCTTTCCTCGTACGACATTCCCTTGAGCTCTGGGACTAGCTTGTTGCAAACCTTTGTACTTTCTCTAACTTCTTGACGTGCTTGCCCCAGGTGTGGGTTCCAGACTGGTGCTGCATACCCAGTTGGGCCTAACATACACAGTGTACGTGTCTTGAACGATTCCTTATTGAGGTATCGGAACGCTATTCTCAGGTTTTGCCGGGGCCCCCCTTTTATGCTGCAGGGGTTTATTTGGTTGGGTTGTGTCCCCCCCCGGGGTGTTGTACCCCGGTTTTTTGGGCCCCCCCCAAAAGGTCTTTCCCCCCTGAGTGAGGCTGTTTTCTTTGTCCCCCTAGCCTATATTCTGTCTGCGGTTTTTTCTTTTCCCCCTCCCCAATCTTAATGATTTTGGCATTTGGCTGGATTGAATTCGAGGAGCCATTTTACTGGACCACTTTTTCCAGCCCCCCAAAGGTCTCTTTGCAGTCCTGCCTCCCCCTCGCCCGATTTAATTCTTTCATAAACCCTTCACGTATCTGGAACAGGGACCCCTTCAGAGTCTTTCCCTTTTCCTCATGTCGGTTCACTTTTTATAAAAAAATTTAGAAGGGCCCTAAAAATTCCCCCTGTGGGCCCCGTTTCGTAACAGGCGCCCCACTGGGATCCCTTTTTCCGTCCCCAAATGACCCCGTTGCTGCCCCCCGGTAGGTTTTCCCCTTTAACCCCATTGCGTCCCTTTCCCTTTTATGTGGGGGCCGGGATCCCCCAGTTTCTCCCAAAAAATTTCTCTTGGGGGGAACTGTGTCAAAGGCCCTTCCGGGCCAGTCTAGGAAACGAAAAATCTACCCAACCCTCTCTTGTGTTTTTCTTCTGTTCCCTTTTTCAAAAAAACTCCGGGGGTTTTGGTGATAAAAGATTTTGCCTTCCATGAACCCCATGCGGGTTTTTTCATTTAAATCTTGTTCCTTTCCCGGTGTTCGAACCCACTCTCCTCCTGATAACCCTTTCCATGCCCTTTGACAAAAATAAATGTCAGAGACCAGGGTCTGTAGTTTAGTGCCTCTTTTCCCGGGTTTCCTTTCTTAAATAGGGGGGCAAAATTTTTCCCTTTTCCTTCCTTTTTCTCAGGTTAGGGCCCAGTTTCAAGGGATGTGTTGGAAGTTGTGGTTAGGGCACACACACCCATTCCTTTTTCCCCCTCAAAGGGAAACCCTTGGGGAGTTTTTTGTCCGGCCCCCGTTTTGGGAGGTGTAAAAGGCCCTTTAAAAGGTTTCTTCACCCCCTTTCCTCAGTTGTTTCTTTATTGTCATCCAATCTTGGGGGTTGGGTATTTCCCTCTTGATTTTCCCCTTCTGTGCTGTCTTCCCAAAACCCCTTCCTGTTATTTTTAAAAAAATTTCCTTTTAAATTTCCCCGGGTTTCGCTCCTCATTTACCCCCCTGATAATTTCGTGTGGGGTTCCCTCCACCTTCGTCCTTAATCGGGATCCCCTGGTCTTTGACGGGTTGTTTTCCCTTCCCCGATGTGGTTTTAAAACAAACATTTTTGGGGCCCGTTTTGGATTTCATGCTATGTTTTTTTTACTGCCCGGGGGGGCCCTCCCTCCTTCCCTGTGCGAAATCTTTTCCGGGTTTGGGCAAAATGATTTCCTTTTTTCCCGTGTGTTCTCTGACCTTCTGTATTTTTTTCCATTCTCAAATTGCACTTTGTTTTTGCCTCCTTACCCCGTGGGGTTTAAAACCCCAAGGGGCTTTTTCTGGTTTCCCCGGGTTTTTTAAGTTCCCCTTTGGGGGAAATAAACCCTTTTCCCACTGCCCCCTTTGCATTTTGTTGCTACATATTCCAATCTTTTAAATTTACGGTTTTCCTGCCAGTTCTCTGTCCCATTTGGCCTCCCGCATGAAGTTCTTAAACCCCTATGAAAGTCCCCTTTTTATGGGCGGGTTTTTTCCCTTTCTACCCCTTTGTTATTCCTCCATTGGGCCCCCATTTCTATGTATTAAAAAGACCAAAAACCACTTTGGTCGTTGCTCCTGGGGGACCCTCTTATTTAAAATATCCTCAATTTCTGAGCTCCCACGGGGTGCCTCCGGTAATCTTGCGGGTTCATTCCCCCTCTCACTCGGGTTTTCCCTTTAAACCCATGTTGGTGCATGAGGTTTTTCCAGCCCCAGGGCCCCAAACTTCCTGGCTCTCCATGTTTCGGGCCCCCCCAGTGGCCCCGGGTTTTTTCCCGTCAATCTCCCTGGGGGTTAAATTTCCCCTAACCAAAAAATTTTTGCTTGATGGGGGTGAGCTCTTCTTGCCCCCGAAAAATTGTGTCCCCATTCCCTCTGTTGCTTCTTCATATTCCTCCCCTTGGCCCCCTGAAAGTTCTGGGGGTGGATTATCTCACTGCAATGACCACTTTGTGTTCCCGAGGAAGTTACCTGTTTATGTGGGTCTCTTTTTCCGGTCTAATTTTATTCCTTCCTTTTTCTCAAATTTTTCCCATCTTTTTTCCCGGCAGAGCCCCCCAAACCTCCCCCCCCCCCCTTTTTATTTTTCCTCTGATCGGGGATTTGGGGGAAAAATTGGGCTTTCTGTTATTGTTTCCATGAGTTTTGTTTCTTTTAACTCCCTTTGTTGTTGGGGATTTTCTCATTGTTTCCCTTTTTTGGGCCATTTTTTCATGTTTTTTCCCGTTTATCCTTTCTGCATTTGTTTTTTCCCCAAAACCTTAAAACCTTTGTTCAAATTTACTGTAACTGTGGTGCGGGGGGGGTGGAAAACAGAGGGAAAATTCGGTGTTGGGGATTTTTGGTTTGGAAGTTCGGGTTGCCTTGGGGGTTTTCGTGGTGGAGCCCTTTCTGCAGGTTTTTTCCTGGGGGGTGCGCGTGTCCTTCCTTTTGATCCGGGGTTTAATTCTGTCTCCTTTTTCTTTCCCCCCTTTTTTCCCCTTTTCGTTTTTGAACTCTTCTTTCTGTTTTCCCTTTCGGCCCCTTTGGGTGTTTGTCTCGGCCCCGAGGGTTCCCACCCCCGGGAAACTCCTGTTGCCCTCAGCCGTGTTTCTCCTGAAGGATCATGGTTGGGGTTTGATTCTCCCTTAAAAAAATTACTTTGGGAGGCCGATTCCTTTTCTTTTTTGCCACCCAAATTCCCCGAAAATTGCCCCGGGGTCATGTCCCCCCGCCTATCCCTTCAGATGTCTTCAAATCGCTTTTTTCCCCTGCTTTTTTTCATCATGTTTCCCCTTTACTTGTTAGCCCTAGACAAAACACGGATCTCCCCTTTTCCCCCCCACTGTCCCCCTTTGCTTTCCTCTGATTGGTTTTAGTTCCTTCCCGTGGAGGTTCCTTCCTTCACCCCTTCCTCTTAGGGCCCCCTATGCTTTTTGGGTTTACCCTTTCCTGTATTGCTCCTGGCCCCCCGGTTCTGTAAGGCCTTGCCTGTCCTAGTTCCAAAATGCTTCCAACCTCTCTTTCTGCCCCTAGAGTGCCCCTGTTTTTGTTTTGGCCCCAGTGGGTTTGCGGGCCCTCTGATACAGTTTTTTTCCCAAAGCCCTTCGGACCTGTTGTTGTTTTCGATGTGCCATTGCCGATGCTACTTTGAATATTTTTGTTCTGTGCTTTTCAGGGGCTCAGCTCCTCTTTCTAATCTTCTATCTTGATTTTCGCTCTGTGGCCTGTTCTTTCCCCCTCTCATTCTGCTGCCTAACCTTTTTCCATCTTCCTTTCCAGCTCATCTAGTCCCTTCCCCAGCCCCTTTCCCCCTTTTTTTGAGCTCTTCCCCTTTCCCCTCCCTCTCAGTTTCGTCCTTGGCCCCCCTTTTCCCTCTCCGGGTTTTAGGGGGGGGGGAAAAATAGACGGTTAGGGGGGGGATGGTGGTTGGGGGGGAGGGGGGGATGGTTTTTGGGAGGGGCGGGGGGAGATAGTTGGGGGGGGAGTTAGATGGTTTGGGGGAGGGAGTTAGATGGTTTGGGGAGAGAGGGGATGGATGGTTATGGGGGAGGGGGAGGATGGTTATTGGAGGGAGGGGGGTTTGTTGGGCGGGGTTAGACGGTTTGGGGAGGGGTTAGGTGGTTTGGGGGGGAGGGGTAGGGGGCTAAGGCTAAGGTTGTAAAGTGGCGGAGGGTGTGTGTGTGTGTGTGTTTTGTGTGTGTGTGTGTGTGTGTGGTGTGTTGTGTGTGGGTGTGTGTGTATGTGTGTGTGTGTGAATGTGTGTGTGTGAATGTGTGTGTGTGTGTGTGTGGTGGTGGTGTGTGTGTGTGTGTGTGTGTGTGTGGTGTGTGTGTGTGTGTGTGTGTGTGTGTGTGTGTGTTGAGAGTCTTGTGCGGTTGTAATGACTGGCCGCAACTTTTTTGTGACCTGACCTAAACCCTCCTGGGACCCCCTAGCACCGTCTTATGTGTGTGTGTATGTGTGTGTGTGTGTGTGTGTGTGTGTGTGTGTGTGTGTTGTGTGTGTTTGTGTGTGTGTGTGTGTGTGTGTGTGTGTGTGTGTGTGTGTGTGTGTGTGTGTGTGTGTGTGTGTGTGTGTGTGTGTGTGTGTGTGTGTGTGATTTCGCAATAATAAAACAACAGGTGTAAGATATATCAGTGACCAACACACATCATTGCAGTGGCCTTCACCTCACCACTGCAAACACTGTCGTACCAGTTCCTGGGTGCCACTCCCGACCACTGGTGCCAGGTGACACCCCTGCTGGAGGCTAACTGGACCCACCAGCAGATCCTAGACCTCGCTATTCCCTTCAGGTGAGTTACTTTTTCCTTCAAGTCAGTTATTCTTCCCTTTAGGTGCGTTGATTGCACTTCAGGTAAGTGGTTATCTCCTTCATATGAGTCGTTTTCTCCTTCAGGTGAGTTGCTGTGCTCTTCAGCTGAGTCACTGTCCTCCTTAGGTGATTCTTTCTATACCCTGGTATCTCCTTCAGACGAGTCTCTCTACCTTGGTATCTCCTTCAGACGAGTCTCTCTACCTTGGTATCTCCTTCAGATGAGTCCCTCTACCTTGGTATCTCCTTCAGATGAGTCTCTCTATCCTGGTATCTCCTTCAGACGAGTCTCTCTACCCTGGTATCTCCTTCAGATGAGTCTCTCTACCTTGGTATCTCCTTCAGATGAGTCCCTCTACCTTGGTATCTCCTTCAGATGAGTCCTTCTACCTTGGTATCTTCTTCAGATGACTTCTCTACCTTGGTATCTCCTTCAGATGAGTGCCCTCTACCTTGGTATCTCCTTCAGATGAGTCCCTCTACCTTGGTATCCCCTTCAGATGAGTCCCTCTACCTTGGTATCTCCTCAGATGAGTCTCTCTACCCTGGTGATTCTTTCTATACCCTGGTATCTCCTTCAGACGAGTCTCTCTACCTTGGTATCTCCTTCAGACGAGTCTCTCTACCTTGGTATCTCCTTCAGATGAGTCCCTCTACCTTGGTATCTCCTTCAGACGAGTCTCTATCCTGGTATCTCCTTCAGACGAGTCTCTCTACCCTGGTATCTCCTTCAGATGAGTCTCTCTACCTTGGTATCTCCTTCAGATGAGTCCCTCTACCTTGGTATCTCCTTCAGATGAGTTCTTCTACCTTGGTATCTTCTTCAGATGACTTCTCTACCTTGGTATCTCCTTCAGATGAGTCTCTCTACCTTGGTATCTCCTTCAGATGAGTCCCTCTACCTTGGTATCCCCTTCAGATGAGTCTCTCTACCTTGGTATCTCCTCAGATGAGTCTCTCTACCCTGGTATCTCCTTCAGATGAGTCCCTCTACCTTGGTATCACCTTCAGATGGGTCTCTCTACCCTGGTATCTCCTTCAGATGAGTCCCTCTACCTTGGTATCTCCTTCAGATGAGTCCCTCTACTTTCGTATCTCCTTCAGATGAGTCCCTCTACCCTGGTATCTCCTTCAGATGAGTCCCTCTACCTTGGTATCTCCTTCAGATGAGTCCCTCTACCTTCGTATCTCCTTCAGATGGGTCTCTCTACCCTGGTATCTCCTTCAGATGAGTCCCTCTACCTTGGTATCTCCTTCAGATGAGTCCCTCTACCTTCGTATCTCCTTCAGATGAGTCTCTATCCCTTGGTATTCCTTCAGATGAGTCCCTTTTAACCTTGGTATCTCCTTCAGATGAGTCCCTCTACCTTCGTATCTCCTTCAGATGAGTCTCTATACCTTGGTATCTCCTTCAGATGAGTCCCTCTACCTTGGTATCTCCTTCAGGTGATAATTATTATGTTATTACATTCATTATGATTTTAAAAGTGTGGTGACCCTCGCGACGAAGGGGATGGATTGACTCTATTTCTCCTGAGAATCACTAAAACTTATGCCGGTCTTGACGACCAACTCTGTATGTGTGTCAGCGATGCTTCGTTACCAATATTGTGGTCTTGACGACCAACTCTGTATGTGTGTCAGCGATGCTTGGCTACCAGTCTTTTGGTCTTGACGACCAAGTCTGCATTTACGTCAGTGATGCTTGGCTACCAGTATTGTCAAAATGTCTGGTATTTTCTTTTCTTTAATTTAGTGTTTCGACTTTTCGAAAGCTAATATGATCCTCAACAGTGAAGTAATTTTTACGTATCTGCAGTATTTGGTGATGATGACATCGGTCTGTATAACTCAGGCCCGTATTTCTCAGTGATGCCAGTCCACCAATGTGATCTTAACAACCTCTGATGCTGATCCACCAGTGTGATCTTAACAACCAGTGAGGCCGGTCCACCAGTGTGATCTTAACAACCCATGATGCTGGTCCACCAGTGTGATCTTAACAACCAGTGATGCTATTCCACCAGTGTGATCTTAACAATCAGATCTCTATATCTGTGATGTATTTTCTTTCATCTCCTCCTTTCTTACACGTGGAGCAGCAACTCTACAGGGAAGCCAGAGAACTGTTACATGAGGGACTACGACTACACTGCAGCGGCGGCTCTGGGCTACCAGACCACAATGAAGGACCCGTCAGCGGTGCTGCGTAACTCGTCCTCCCTCATCCAGTGCTCCGTCAGAGAGTTTAACCTCTCCCAGTACATCTCTACCGTCGTCACTGAGGTAACCTCTCCTAGCACCTGCATTGTTGCACCATATGTATGTGTGGAAAGTATTTACAGTATGTGTGTGTGTGTGTGTGTGTGTGTGTGTGTGTGTGTGTGTGTGTGTGTGTGTGTGTGTGCATTACACTCAATAGTCAAAAAATATTAAGTTATTTTACTGTATGTAGCAGTTGGATTATTCTTAATTATTTATGGGAGTGTGACCTTAACTCTATTAACATGACCTTACTGTGTGTGACCTTACTCTGTATGTGACCCTACTGTGCATAATGAGACCTTACTCTCAAAGTGTGACCCTACTCTGTATGTGACCTTACTGTGCATAATGAGACCTTACTCTCAAAGTGTGACCTTACTCTGTATGTGACCTTACTGAGCATAGTGGAACCTTACAGAGTGTGACCTTACTCTGTGTATGCGACTTTGTTCTATGTGTGTGACCTTACTGTGAATAAGAGTGTAGTCTCAGAGTGTGATCTTAATTCTCTGAACGTGATTTTACTGAGTGACCTTATTTCGTGTGACCTTAATATAAATTAATCCTCACTTTTACAGTGTCACTTTATTTTGTGTATGTAACCTTACTCTGTGCTGTGGCCTTACTGTAAATGGGACCTTATTCTCAGAGCGTGACCATTCTTTGTAGGGGTGACTTTTATCTGTGGCTATGATGCGACTGTTGATGTGACCTTCATGTGTGGGTGTGAACTCACTGTGGACATGGCCTTACTCTGTGAATCTGACCTTATACTGAGTACTTCCTTATGCTGTGAGTATGGCTCTTATCGATATGACCTTACCCAGTGGACGAGTTCTTAGTCTGTGGTCATGACCTTATTCAAGGAGTATTTACTTTACGTCTGGATCAGACTTCAACCAAATTATGCTGAAATATATCAGTCGTTAGACGATCTTCCAGTTAAAATAGTGTTCCTGTGTCTACACTGGGGAAGGTGGGGGCGGTGACCCCCGAAACCCTCTCCAGGTAAACTCCAGGGTGACCACGGTGGCCTGGTGGCAAAAGCTCTAGCTTCACGTGGTGAGGGTTCGGGTTCGATTCCCGGCGAAGGGGTGGAAACATCAGAAGTGTTTCCTTACACCGGTTATCAATGTTCACCCAACAGTAAAATGGGTACCTGGGTGTTAGTCGGTTGGTGTGGGTCGCATCCTGGGACAAAACTGACCTAATTTGCCCGAAATGCTCTGCATAACTAGCGACTTTCTATATAGTAGTATGTCATTGATGTCAGCTTGGACTGTATACCTTGTACATGTACTTGTAGTAAATAAAGATATTACCTTATTGTTTGAAAATTATCTTACTTAGTTGGCATGACCTTACTCTGTGAACTTCACCTTATTTTTTTGTTAATTACTTTGTGAACACGATGTCTTCTTGCTGGACTGGTACACTGGTGTGGGCATGATCTTACCCTGCTGGATCGGTACACTGATGTGGGCTACTACAGTGGGACCTGGTGTGTGAGAGGCGGGTGCTGTATTCAACCACACAGGCAGTCATGCAGGGTGGCAAACTCTTCGGCTTCGTTCTCTTCGCCTACCTCGTTGATGCGTAAGTCCTGATACTCGTGCGTGTCATTTAGCAGCGATGGTAGGTTACTTATCATTTAGCAGTGATGGCAGTGTGGAAAATACTGTATATATTTTCCAGAAATACAGTACTTATATGTAAATAGATGGCCATGCTGTATTTAATAAAAATTGTTATAAAAAATGGGAAATTGCGCCTGCGCAGAAGAGACTCGCCATGTTTGAACAAGTCAACACAAACTTTAGTGAATAAGGGGAATTTTCGTGCTCTAGGAGTAAAATTGGGCTGACACCTCTTCAAATATGAAATCGTTGATGTGCATTCCTGCATAATTAGATATCAAGCGACTGAAATAATTCCAGAATCCTCATGATAAGCTTTATTTTAAACTCTGGCATGTTATTTGCATGATACACAGTGAGGTTTTTTTGAGTATGATACCACATTAATCTCCAGTCATAATTGGTGAGTATATTAAGTATATATTCTCCTTCTGTTATGTAAATTGATTATATATATAAATCATTTTTCAATTTAATTACATACACAAATTTATATATTTACCACGAATTTCATGGTGTAGTAACATTTCATTATGTAATTAATAGGTTTAGAGCAACTTGTGGATATGACAGTGTAGGTATCGATAGGGGACATTTTTTGTCGACTAGGTGTCCAAATTCATTGTATGGTAACTTTGATACAATAATAATTATCATGTTATCATTTATGTACATAATGAGTTACATTCAGATAAATGCAATTTTCCACATTTAAGTTACAAAATCATTTAGCAGTGATGGTAGGCTACAGATCATTTAGCAGTGATGGTAGGCTGCAAGATCATTTAGCAGTGATGGTAGGCTACAGATCATTTAGCAGTGATGGTAGGATACAGATCATTTAGCAGTGATGGTAGGCTACAAGATCATTTAGCAGTGATGGTAGGCTACAGATCATTTAGAAGTGATGGTAGGCTACAGATCATTTAGCAGTGATGGTAGGCTACAGACCATTTAGCAGTATGGTAGGCTACAAGATCATTTAGCAGTGATGTTAGGCTACAAGATCATTTAGCAGTGATGGTAGGCTACAGATCATTTAGCAGTGATGGTAGCTACAGATCATTTAGCAGTGATGGTAGGCTGCAAGATCATTTAGCAGTGATGGTAGGCTACAGATCATTTAGCAGTGATGGTAGGCTACAGATCATTTAGCAGTGATGGTAGGCTACAAGATCATTTAGCCGTATGGTAGGCTATGGATCATTTAGAAGTATGGAAGGCTACAAGATCATTTAGCAGTATGGTTGGCTACAGATCATTTGGCAGTATGGTAGGCTACAGATCATTTAGCAGTATGGTAGGCTACAGATAATTTAGCAGTGATGGTAGGTTTCAGATCATTTAGCAGTATGGTAGGCTACAAGATCGTTTAGCAGTGATGGTAGGCTACACATCATTTAGCAGTGATATTAGGCTGCAGATCATTCAGCAGTGATGGTGGGTTACAGATCATTTAGCAGTGATGGTAAGCTACAGATCATTTAGCAGTGATGGTAGGCTGCAGATCATTTAGCAGTGATGGTAGGCTACAGATCATTTAGCAGTGATGGTAGGCTACAGATCATTTAGCAGTGATGGTAGGCTACACATCATTTAGCAGTGATGGTAGGTTACAGATCATTTAGCAGTGATGGTAGGTTACAGATCATTTAGCAGTGATGGTAGGCTACAGATCATTTAGCAGTGATGGTAGGTTACAGATGATTTAGCAGTGATGGTAGGTTACAGATCATTTAGCAGTGATGGTAGGCTACAAGATCATTTAGCCGTATGGTAGGCTATGGATCATTTAGAAGTATGGAAGGCTACAAGATCATTTAGCAGTGATGATAGGCTACAGATCATTTAGCAGTGATGGTAGGCTACAGATCATTTAGCAGTATGGTAGGCTACAGATCGTTTAGCAGTGATGGTAGGCTACAGATCATTTAGCAGTATGGTAGGCTACAGATCATTTAGCAGTATGGTAGGCTACAGATCATTTAGCAGTATGGTAGGCTACGGATCATTTAGCTGTATGCTAGGCTACAGATCATTTAGCAGTGATGGTAGGGGACGATCATTTAGCAGTATGGTAGGCTACAGATCATTTAGCAGTGATGGCAGGCTACAGATCATTTAGCAGTATGGTAGGCTACAAGATCATTTAGCAGTGGTGATAGGCTACAGATCATTTAGCAGTATGGTAGACTAAAAGATCATTTAGCAGTATGGTAGGCTACGGATCATTTAGCTGTATGGTAGGCTACAGATCATTTAGCAGTGATGGTAGGCGACGGATCATTTAGCAGTATGGTAGACTACAAGATCATTTAGCAGTGATGGTAGGCTACAGATCATTTAGCAGTATGGTAGGCTACAGATCATTTAGCAGTATGGTAGGCTACAAGATCATTTAGCAGATGGTAGCTAGTCGATTAGGTGATGGTAGGCTACAGATCATTTAGCAGTGATGGTAGGCTACAGATCATTTAGCAGTGATGGTGGGCTACAGATCATTTAGCAGTGATGATAGGTTACAGATCATTTAGCAGTATGGTAGACTACAAGATCATTTAGCAGTATGGTAGACTACGGATCATTTAGCATGATGGTAGGCTACAGATCATTTAGCAGGATCATTAGGTTTACTGATCATTTAGCAGTGATGGTAGGTTATCAAGATCATTTAGCAGTGATGGTAAGCTACAGATCATTTAGCAGTGATGGTAGGCTGCAGATCATTTAGCAGTGATGGTAGGATACAGATCATTTAGCAGTGATGGTAGGTTACAGATCATTTAGCAGTGATGGTAGGCTACAGATCATTTAGCAGTGATGGTAGGCTACAGATCATTTAGCAGTGATGGTAGGCTACAGATCATTTAGCAGTATTGGTAGGCTACAAGATCATTTAGCAGTGATGGTAGGCTACAGATCATTTAGCAGTGATGGTAAGCTACTGATCATTTAGCAGTGATGATAGGCTACATATCATTTAGCAGTGATGGTAGGCTACAGATCATTTAGCAGTATGGTTGACTGCAAGATCATTTAGCAGTGATGGTAGGCTACAGATCATTTAGCAGTATGGTAGGCTACAGATCGTTTAGCAGTGATGGTAGGCTACAAGATCATTTAGCAGTGATGGTAGGCTACAGATCATTTAGCAGTATGGTAGGCTACAGATCATTTAGCAGTATGGTAGGCTACAGATCATTTAGCAGTGATGGTAGGCTACAGATCATTTAGCAGTGATGGTAGGCTACAGATCATTTAGCAGTATGGTAGGCTACAAGTTCATTTAGCAGTGATGGTAGGCTACAGATCATTTAGCAGTGATGGTAGGCTACAGATCATTTAGCAGTGATGGTAGGCTACAAGATCATTTAGCCGTATGGTAGGCTATGGATCATTTAGAGGTATGGAAGGCTACAAGATCATTTAGCAGTATGGTAGGCTACAGATCATTTAGCAGTATGGTAGGCTACAGATCATTTAGCAGTATGGTAGGCTACAGATATTTACAGTTTGATGGTAGGCGACGGATCATTTAGCAGTATGGTAGACTACAGATCATTTAGCAGTATGGTAGGCTACAGATCATTTAGCAGTATGGTAGGCTACAGATCATTTAGCTGTATGCTAGGCTACAGATCATTTAGCAGTGATGGTAGGGGACGGATCATTTAGCAGTATGGTAGACTACAAGATCATTTAGCAGTGATGGTAGGCTACAGATCATTTAGCAGTGATGGTAGGCTACAGATCATTTAGCAGTGATGGTAGACTACAGATCATTTAGCAGTATGGTAGGCTACAAGATCATTTAGCAGTGATGGTAGGCTACAGATCATTAGCAGTTTGGTAGGCTACAGATTCATTTAGCAGTGATGGTAAGCTACAGATCATTTAGCAGTGATGGTAGGCTACAGATCATTTAGCAGTATGGTAGGCTACAAGATCATTTAGCAGTATGGTAGGCTACAGATCATTTAGCAGTATGGTAGGCTACAGATCATTTAGCAGTGATGGTAGGCTACAGATCATTTAGCAGTATGGTAGGCTACAAGATCATTTAGCGGTGATGGTAGGCAACATCATTTAGCAGTGATGGTAGGCTGACAGATCATTCAGCAGTATGGTGGTACGGATCATTTAGCATGATGGTAAGGCTACAGATTATTTAGCAGTATGGTAGGCTACAGATCATTAGCAGTATGTAGGTATGATCTTTAGCTGTATGGTAGGCTGCAGATCATTTAGCAGTATAGTAGATACAAATCATTTAGCAGTAGGTTAGGCTACAGATCATTTGCTGTATGGTAGGCTACAGATCATTTAGCAGTATGGTAGGCTACAATATCATTTAGCAGTATTGTAGGCTACAGATAATTTAGCAGTGATGGTAGGCTACAGATCATTTAGCAGTGATGGTAGGCTACAGATCATTTAGCAGTTATGTTAGGCTACAAGATCATTTAGCAGTAATGGTAGGCTACAGATCATTTAGCAGTATGGTAGGCTACAAGATCATTTAGCAGTGATGGTAGGCTACAGATCATTTAGCAGTGATGGTAGGCTACAAGATCATTTAGCAGTGATGGTAGGCTACAGATCATTTAGCAGTGATGGTAGGCTACAGATCAATTAGCAGTATGGTAGGCTACAAGATCATTTAGCAGTGATGATAGGTTACAGATCATTTAGCTTTATGGTAGACTACAAGATCATTTAGCAGTATGGTAGACTACAGATCATTTAGCTGTATGGTAGACTACAAGATCATTTAGCAGTGATGGTAGGTTACAGATCATTTAGCAGTGATGTTAGGCTACAGATCATTTAGCAGTGATGGTAGGCTACAGATCATTTAGCAGTATGGTAGGCTACAAAATCATTTAGCAGTGGATGATAGGCTACAGATCATTTAGCAGTATGGTAGACTACAAGATCATTTAGCAGTATGGTAGGCTA